GTTGTCAGCATTATCTCTAGTAAAACTACCAAGCATTAAATTTTAGTCTTCCAGTGACACCCTCCCACACAATGTCATCAAAATAATTTAATAAAATTCCTAATAGAGAATTAATGACACTCTGACATACACTGATATCATTTCTTATAGTTCATCTATATTCTCTACTGAATAGTGACAATTTCTATTACAACTGTTGACTTGCAACATTCAAATGTATATTTTTGTTGCAGTTACCAATTTTTTTTGTAATCTCTTTGTAGATCTTTCCAAATGATGTTGACAGATATCTGTTTCATCACTCCATGGAAATGTAATGCCACAAACTAGGGCTGGGTATGGATTACCAAATCGAGATCGATTATCGACACCAATAAATCGATCAATAATCAATTAATAATTGAAATAATTCAATTGAGAAACCCTGTAAACACTAAATTTAAAACATGCCAAAATTCTTAATTTCATCAGTTATTTTTGTGTCATAGAAGTATATTGATCAGTTCTTTTAGTTTATTGTGGGTATGTTATGTGCTGAAGGGAACCTATGTGGAAGAGATAACTACTTGTTCATGGGTGCAATGGAGAAATTTTAGTCTACCATTATATTAGAGTACCTGTTTCAGCTACCACTATATTAGAGTACCTGTTTCAGACTACCACTATATTACAGTACCTGTTTCAGCCTACCACTATATTAGAGTACCTGTTTCAGCTACCACTATAATAGAGTACCTGTTTCAGCCTACCACTATATTAGAGTACCTGTTTCAGACTACCACTCTATTAGAGTACCTGTTTCAGCCTACCACTCGATAAGAGTACCTGTTTCAGCCTACCACTATATGAGAGTACCTGTTTCAGCCTACCACTCTATTAGAGTACCTGTTTCAGCCTTCCACAATAATAGAATACCTGTTTCAGCCTACCACAATGTTAGAATACCTGCTTCAGCCTACCACTATATGAGAGTACCTGTTTCAGCCTACCACTATAATATGAGAGTACCTGATTCAGCCTTCCACAATAATAGAGTACCTGTTTCAGCTACCACTATATTAGAGTACCTGTTTCAGCCTACCACTATATGATAGTACCTGATTCAGTCTTCCACTATATTAGAGTACCTGTTTCAGCCTACCACTATATGGGAGTACCTGTTTCAGCTACCACTATATTAGAGTACCTGTTTCAGCCTACCACTCTATTAGAGTACCTGTTTCAGCCTTCCACAATAATAGAGTACCTGTTTCAGTCTACCACTCTATGAGAGTACCTGTTTCAGCCTACCACTATATGTGAATACCTGTTTCAGCCTACCACTATATTACAATACCTGTTTCAGTCTACCACTATATGAGAGTACCTGTTTCAGCCTACCACTATATTAGAATACCTGTTTCAGACTACCACTATATGGGAGTACCTGTTTCAGTCTACCACTATATGAGAGTACCTGTTTCAGTCTAACACTATATGGGAGTACCTGTTTCAGTCTACCACTATGTGGGAGTACCTGTTTCAGTCTACCACTATATGTGAATACCTGTTTCAGCCTACCACTATATTACAATACCTGTTTCAGTCTACCACTATATGAGAGTACCTGTTTCAGCCTACCACTATATTAGAATACCTGTTTCAGACTACCACTATATGGGAGTACCTGTTTCAGTCTACCACTATATGAGAGTACCTGTTT